CTCGCTGCACGGGCTGCTGACCGACGGCGCCGTGTCGGCGGCGGCGGCGGCGGCGGTGGCGGCAGCGATGGCAGCGGCGGCAGTGGTGACGGCGGCGGTGGCGACGGCAGCGCCCGTCGGCAGGCCGCCGTCGCGCGCGGCCGGCTGCTCGGCGCGCAGCGGGCCGCGCGCCTCCCGCGCCTTCTTGGTGAGCAGTCGCTTCAGCTTGGGGTCGGTCTGGTCGGTGGCGCGCTGGCGCAGCGACGCGATCAGCGCCGGCAGTGAGTCGCCGTCGACCGTCTCGCCGGCCGGCCGGCCCGGCTCCAGAGCGCGGCCGTCCGGCCGGGTGCGCCGCCGCGCCGCCGAGTCCGCCGGCGTCTGCGGCCGCGATCCGGGCGGCGAGGCGCGCCGGCTGACCGGCGCCGAGGCCACGACTTGGGCGCGCCGCCGGCTCTGCGCCTTCAGTCGCAGGCCGGCTGTCACGCTGGGCTTCAGCAGCGACTGGCCGGCGCGCGCCGTCCGCACCGTCCGCGGCTGCGGCGGGCGCGGCTGCGGCTGTGGCTGCGGCTGCTGGCTGCGGCTGGCTCGGCTGCGACTGCGGCTGCGGCTGCGGCTGCGGCTGCGGCTGCGGCTGCGACTGCGACTGCGGCTGCGGCTGCGACTGCGGCTGCGGTAGTAGCGTCGGCTGCAGCTGCGGCTGCGGCAGCAGCGTCGGCTGCGGTTGCGGCTGCGACTGCGGCTGCTGCGGCGGTGGTGGCGGCGGCGGCGGCGGCAGTGGATCGACGGCACTGCCGGGCTCACTGGACAGCTCAGCGACTCAATGACTGGCTCCAAGTGTTCCTCGAAAAACGCCAACAAGTCCTCCCGCGACTGAGCCATGATGCCTGCAACACAGCGCACCCCATCGTCGGACACGTTAGTTCTACGGCATGCCGTTTCACCAATGCCAACGGACCCGACGACCAGCCACGAGCAAGCAACGCACTCCAATCAGGCGACGTTAGTATGCATCCAGAGTGGTATCTGCCTCTAGTGTTCAAAAGCCGTGCCCGTGACAGGCCGGGAATGCCGGTCCCGCAGCATTCCAACTCCAAACCCGTATCATACAGGGATTCTCGGCGGATCTACCTATCTACGACGCAGAACAGGAATCACCCAACATTGAAATCACATGTCGTCGGGGACGGAGGTGTGACGAACAGCACATACCGGGTGATCACTTCACTCTACATTGGGACAGACAAGAAGCGTTTGAAAATTTTCGAGGACGTAGAAAAGCTCCGAAATGCATCCGCGTTACGCATGGGTCGGCGTTCACCACATTTACTGCACTGATTGAAGGAATTGATTGCAGTCATGCTTTTTCAGAGCACTTGGCTGTCACAATACATGAAAATGCTATAAGAAAAGTAAGCATACAAACAGCTGTCAATTAACAGCTAAAAGCGCTTTGAGCATTCCATATTGGCTCGCTTTACTAGCCCTCTTGTCTGTGCTGATAGTCTAGATGGTAATCCACCCGTAGCATCTTAACCTTGAAGGGAGTGTTCCACATCTACATGAGGTTTGAATTGAAATAGCCATCTTGAAGACCTTTTTGGTGCTGTTCACAGTCCTGCCCTTCCTACGACATAAGTCCCTCTAGTTTCTGAGCTAGGGACCCGTGAAAATTGGGAGAGGCATATCGGGTAGAGCATTTCAAAATCACCCTGGCATTCATGACATCATAACAACGTCATTTAAATCCTGCTATTACATAAGTCATGCGGCGATCAAGGCCCAGAATCTAATTGTTGAGGCGTTTATATTTGGCGTTCGTGAGCGCGATTTCCAGATATAAAGGCCGCCAATTACCTTTCAATCAATGCTGCGCAAGGTACGATGATGTAATCAAACCCAGACGCTTCTTTTAAAGGTTTGGTCCGAACCCTTTGAATGGATGGATTTCTGGGATCAGAGCTCACGCTAAGCAGTTCTTGTTGTGTGAACCCTGACCTCTACCACCCGATCGCGCAATTCCATGTCAACGGCAGAATTTGGTGACGAAAGCTTAACCTGCCGCAATGCTCGGCACGATCCGTCCTGCCCTCTAACGTCAAATGACCTTCAGCGTGACCGCTGCCACCGACCGCAGGCCACACCTGTCAAGGGCGAATAGCGAGCGCCCTAAAGCGACTCGAAACCACCCCGCCACGGGCGGGTGGATCGGAAGGCAGGCGCTCTAACCAACTGAGTCACCGGGACGGACAAATGCATTGGGCACATTTACTTGAGAGAATTTTGCTGTCTAGAGTAGTCTGTTACACTTCGAAAGCATACCAATAGCTATAAATGAACTTGTTTCGTCATATCTCATGTTTGCTTCAATATCTCAAAATGTGAAACATTCCCCTTAAGTCAACCCCTTCATGAGCTATGGCTGGGGCGCAGTCACCGCTTTTTTCTCTAGGATAAAGTACGGTCATAGACGGAAATATTTAACCGCAACGTTCCCGTTCCATTTTTGAGCACGCAGTATAATTTACGATCGATAGACCTCTGTGAACTTGCAGCATGTCATCTTCCTTTCCAATAACACTCCACACTTCCCGAAAGCTGCTCGGAAATCGCAATATTTCTTGACGTAGACCAAATAATCAGGCTGGCAACATACAAACCTCACGAGCTCCTTTCGAGTTCGCGGCCAGCCATCTGCCGACGTGCTCCCCTCATGACGGGATCACCCGTCAAACAAGCCACGCCGACGTCACGCAGCACGCGCCCGGCCCGCCCGCCCGGTACTCACCGCCGTCCGGCAGCGTCTCCTGGCCGGCCACGTCGTCGAACAGCTGCGTGGCGATGTCGGGCAGCAGCTGGTCGGCCGGCGGCCCCATCAGCGAGCCCAGGTCCATGCCCAGGCCGCTGTCGCCGAACAGCGAGTGGTGCATCTCGCGGTCCAGCGTCTCGCCGACCTGGCCGGTCACACCAGCACGCGGGGTCACGTCGGGCACCTCCTCGGCTACATCGCTGACAATCGCACTGTCTCCACGCGCGGCGGGCTGGAGCGCGCTGTGGTGCGGTACATCAGCCCAGGGCGAACGTGCATCAGGGCGGGTGTACACCGCGCCTGCGGTGTTGTTGACACTGCGCGGTGTGTAATGCCAGGAGCATCCCGCTACTCCCGCGAAGGTGACGCCGTCTCCGGCACGCCCCCGACGGAAGACAAGACGAACAAGGCTCTAACCGTCCCCCTCCCTTACGCGAGTTCGCTTCCCTTTCCTTACGTCTTCGGGGCGCCCTGGCGGCCTGCGGCGGACCGGGCGGGGACGGAGGGTTCGGTGTGGGCCGGCCCGCGCCACCCGTGACGACCTGACCTCCCGCGCGCCGCCCGCCGGACCACACGCGGCCGCGCAGGGTCACACTGGATGGGGGCGACCCAGCCCGGTGCAACCCTGCCAGCCTGCTTCTCTATAGTTAGCTATACTAGTCACGCCGTGAGCGTTCGGCCCATCTTACAAGTGACTTGAGCCCGCACTGCACCCGACGTACGTCATCGGTGAAGCTGAAGAACTCGTTGAAGGACATGTCGGTCAGGTCCATGTCGCCGGAGGTGACGGCGCCGAAGAGCGGCTGGCTCTCGGCAGTGTCGGGGGCACGACCGGAAGCCATCTGGCGGCAGACAACAGCGCATGATGAACACATGGCCTGTCATGGAAGTATGGTTGACGATGAGTTGGGGCTGCAGGCGTACCATTGACAGCACGGTTAACATTCGCCACAAGAAGAGGACACACTTTGAATATCAGGTATTCGCAAGCTTTGGCATTCAATTGATGCTTCCTGTGCTTCAGTTGAAGGAAAACCCTAAGCGCAGATTCTTCACAGCAGCGGTCTCCAACATGTGAGTCGTCAACCACGTCTGCGTCGTCTGCCTGTTTCCGTTGTGTTGCGGAGGTTGCTTGCACATAATGGGCGGACACTACAACGCTTTGTCCCATATGTACTGTTTATATACAACACATTTACATAAAATATGATTCAAAACATGATGTTGACTATTTCCGTAAAAAACTCATCACTCTAGAGAGCAATAATTTCCCTACCATTCGTCCAGGTGTGAATGATTGACACGACCTGTACTGTCTCGGCTTGGCCTCAATGCGTCACACTGCATACGTAACATTTCTAACAGCGCAAGCTCGTCACTAGTTTCTGTTTCGTGGTTCTCGTAGAGCAGCTGGACAACACATACCGGCGGCAGGAGGAGGTCTCGCCCTACTCGTCCGGCGCGCGAAAGAAAGCCGCTCCCAAATGGAGCTTTATAAACGCCAGAAGTCATCGGAGACTTCTTTGCAGACGACACTCAATCCACGTGTGAAGCAGGCCACGTGCCGGAAGCCAGAAATGTCCGGGTTCTGAGCCCAGACCACCATATCTCCAGACTTCCGTGATACTGCACTGATCTAAATCCAGCTGAGCTGGGCTGGGTTGGATCCGACTGACGCCAGTCGAGAGGTCTGAGTGAATGCTATAACAGGTTTCTGAGTACCAGCCATCGGAGCAGAGGAAGCCAAGTGGAGAATATGAATTCCATGAACACCATATCGACTGCTGCCATCTCAGTGATTTACTTTCCAAAGCAGCGGAGCCGTGTCAGCCGGAGCTCGTACATCACCGGTGCGGCTACACTCACTGGCAGCGGAGCCGTGTCAGCAAGAGCCCGTGCGTCACCGCTGCGGCTACACTCACTGGCAGCGGAGCCGTGTCAGCCGGAGCTCGTGCGTCACCGCTGCGGCTACTCTCACTGGCAGCGGAGCCGTGTCAGCCGGAGCTCGTGCGTCACCGCTGCGGCTACTCTCACTGGCAGCGGAGCCGCGTCAGCCGGAGCTCGTGCGTCACCGCTGTGGCTACACTCACTGACCGCAGAGCCTCGTCAGTCGGAGCTCGTACATCACCGGTGCGGCTACACTCACTGGCAGCGGAGCCGTGTCAGCCGGAGCTTGTGCGTCACCGCTGCGGCTACACTTCACTGGCAGCGGAGCCGTGTCAGCCTGGAGCTCGTGAGTCACCGCTGCGGCTACACTCACTGGCCGCAGAGCCTCGTCAGTCGGAGCTCGTACATCACCGGTGCGGCTACACTCACTGGCAGCGGAGCCGTGTCAGCCGGAGCTTGTGCGTCACCGCTGCGGCTACATTCACTGGCAGCGGAGCCGTGTCAGCCGAAGCTCGTGAGTCACCGCTGCGGCTACATTCACTGGCAGCGGAGCCGCGTCAGCCGGAGCCGTGTCAGCCGGAGCTCGTACATCACCGGTGCGGCTACACTCACTGGCAGCTCGCGGCCGGCACTCACACGGCCAGCGAGCGGGCGCAAAACGACCATCGCAGCTGAACTGCCCATAAACCCTGACAACTAACTCACGCGGCGGGCCGGCGGCCGTTCCAACCGGTTATCGGAGAGAAGGGAGCGCAGCCGTGGCTAGGCCGGCCGAACGGAGAGGAGAGCGGCGCTGCCGCGGCGGGCGAGGAAGGCGGCGCGGGAGGCGTGGGAGGCACAGCGGCGCAGACGCACCTCATTCCTGCCGGTTAAGAAGCGTCCACGCTCCCAGCCCGGCACACAAGACAGCTGCGGGCTCGGCGGCGGCTCCGGCAGCTCCAGCCTCACGCTATCTGCGGACAGACGGGCGGCGCTCAGCTTCAGCAGCTTGTCTGGCGGTGCGGTACCGCGGATGAGCCCGTGTCGGCGTCGGCGCGGGGCCGCGCGACACGGCGGGACCCCGGCCGGTCCCATCACACCCGGCGCACACTGGCCGGGGGACACCCCCTCCACTCTCTCGTACAGCACAGGACCGCACCGCACAGCAGAGCACATCACAGCACAACCCAGAGCATCACAGCACAGTGCACCACAGCACAGCACGGCACAGCACAACGCAGTCTATCACAGCACAGTGCACCACAGCACAGCACAGCACAGCACAGCACAGCACAGCACAGCACAATGCAGTGTATCACAACACAGCACAGCATAGCACAGTGCATCACAGCACAGCACAGCGCAGAATCCTAATGCAGACCACCTCAGCTGATGTCCGCTCTTTATTAGTGAGAAAAAAACCCATCTGGGCTACGAGCACACGCATTCCAACTGAAGCGCGACCTATCAGAGGTGACGCATATCGAACTCAAGGTAAAGCGACTCACGCAAGTCACGTAACCGTAGTTCAGTCCCTGCCTCGACAGCAAGGAGAGCCGCAAAACAATATGTAATGCTTAAATCGATCAGCATTGTCCCGTAACACCTCCCATTTCGATTAAATGCACTGCATATGGATAGATGAAAAAATGATGAAATGACAGATGATAATTTGATTGTAAATAATTTGATTGTAATAATTTAATTTGATAATTTATATATATATATATATATATATATATATAGATATACATCGATAGTTGTGGCTCAACTCCGGCCTCATTCATGCTAGGACCGCCGCTGTTTCCTTCATTTACGGAGCGGTGCTGGGCCGTTAATTTTTCCCAAATTCCCAAAACTTTTGTGCTACGAGACGGGGCGGCTACGGCGATTCAGGCTTTACCGTCGATGCGTTTTGGGACCCTGTGAATTGGATTTGAGCTAAAGGTCCGACCGCCACCACAAGTTACTTTTCTGGAGGCGAAATGAAGTTGGAAATGAGCGCTGTGCAATATGGTGGTTACGGCGATTTCTGGTTTCCCTTTCCAAGGGCGTAGGGTGGCAGATAATTTGATCGTCCACGACCAAGACGTTGATCGTGAAATTAAAATGAGCGGATGCTCGTACTTTCATGCCGATTTACACTTCCCATCACATAGCCCGTACGCATGCTGTCCTAAACGCTTACTTGTTCCAACGCATGCAGATTCAGAGATCAGCAACGGGGACAAGGCGGCAGCGAATCAATCCTTTCTCTACGCTCGGTCCTCGCTCAGTTGGCACCGGGGACACTGGGAAGTTGGCCTCCGAGGACGCGCTGTTGGCTCCACTCCTGTCTAGATACCGGGGTAATACACGTGAGCACACCCCGCCTGGGTGCCGGGGTAATGCGCGTGAGCGCCCCCTGCCTAGGTGCCGGGGTGCTCACCCTGTAAGCACCCCTGCAGAGGTGCCGGGGCAATCCGCGCGAGCATCCCCTGTACCGGTAGCGGGGTCATCCGCGTGAGTACCCCTGTCAGGGTCCCGGGGCGACCCGCGCGGGCTTTTTTGCCTCCACAAATGCCGTGCCGAGGCCGTCGTCAGAATGTTGGCCGTGCGCCCACACCACGCGCCGGCGGCCCCACGTGCCAGCAGCTGCTGTGCAGAGCCGCCAGGCGTCTCTGATGACCCTGCCTCGAATGCCGACACCGCAGCGCGACAACCCGTCGCCTCTACATGACCAGCGCAGGGGCCCGTCACGCTGATGTTCGCGGGGATCTGAGCCAACGCGACAGCCTCGCTCCGGAGCATGTTTCGTCCGGTGTGGACGTGGTAGCGCCAGTGTGCAGACGTGCTGATCTGAGACGTGAGAACATTCGCTTTCAGCCCACAGGGAGGGAGAATGTTAAGTTTGAAAGAGCAGGTCGCCGTTGGCCGCCGGGCAGGCTGAAGATTTCAATCGATCATTTTAATCCGTCGGCCCTCGCATGGTGCAGTCTGAGGCTGCATTTCTATCATCATCATCATCATCATCATCATCATCATCATTATCATAATCGTCATCGTCATCATAATCATCACCACCATCGTCTGAGGAGTTTCTCTGTGACGCTTTGTAAAGTTGAAACACCTTCAAACAGCTGCCGCGTGTACACAGTTCCGCTGAGCAGCCTGCAGCAACTTCAAGCGGCATAGTTTTTGGAATACTATGACATCAACTTGGTCATGATCACTCCGTTCAGCCAGCCGAC